GATATATAAAAATTATTTAACTCTCTCAAAACAAGTTTAACACATTCCTCTAGTCCACTACAAACTTGCACTGGCAATAAGTAGTAAAAATAACAGCAAGAAGAAACAGATTAGTTTCACTGAGTACATGGGGCTTTGGATAATTACATCCGTTTTTTAAACATTACATTATTTCTCTTTTTATTTTATGAACAAAATCTGACAAGTCTGCTTGGTTTTGGAAAAGAGAACTCCACCATTTCTGCAATTTAGAACTGAAAACTACTGAAGAAAGATTACTGTGCAGGAAGTAGGGAGGCCAGAACAAAAAGGAAGTACACACTGTTCACTTTTACAGGGAATCTTGGTCAAGGCACAGTCTGCAAGAGACCTTTGCTTGGTTTTACAATGTGCAATAACAAACACCTATTAGTATTACAGATAAAAAACACTGGCCATTAATAATTTGTTGAGGATTTATTACCAAACCTACCTGTAGGAATAATGAAAGATTCTAAAGTAGCATTTCCTCGTTTACAAATATAGCCAAGTTTCTGATCGCATTCCCGATTCTCCCACTTAGCACCTTTGCCAGGATTTAATGCTGCACAGATTTTTCCAGGTTCTGGAGAAGGATGTCCTTTAAAAAAAAAAAAAATAAAAACAAAACCTCAGCAAAGTATAAGCACAACATGGTTACCCTCATAATTATTCTCACATTCTAATCTGTTCCATACTTTCATTATAAGATAACATTAACATGTAGTCAATTGCTATTCTCCACAGTCCTTTAGACTGAATGGGGCATTTCATTCCCTTACGACATATTTTTTCACAGCAACCACAAGTTGAGATATTTATCCAGTTCACAATTTAACAGCCTCTTCACAAGTTCAAAGTCTTGATGGAAGGTATTACAGTGCAGTTATTTATTTGTTTGGGTTTTTTCCCTTTCTAAACAAAGAATTTGTTTAGTCTAATTTCATTAATTTCACTGATCTTTAGGTGAAAAAAACATTCAGTATACTAAGTCAAATTCTGTTCTGAGTATAATAATAAAGACAGAAAAATTATAAGTAATTATTTTGCTAATGTGAGCTTTTTGTCCACTTGTCTAAACAATACAACAATAGCAGGATATTTGGATATTTTCAGTTGAAGATTAGCATTAGCACTAACAGAAACATCTAGAAGAGAAGTAGCACCTAGAGTACAGAACAAATTTCTGCAATAAACTGGATTAACTTTTCGAGATCTAGTCTAACATGATTAAACTTAACATGGATTTTCTTTCATTTCTGAACACATGCCACTATAACACATAGCAAGCAAGTGCTTGCTTACTCAGCCATAAACACAGCAAAACAATATTTTTTAGTGTGCAAGACGGTTCACTGAAAATTTTCCTATATCATTATGATTTCATTACCTTAGATTACAGTTAGTCTTATATTTGCAGTCATGTTATATCTTCTTCCCATAGGAGAAAAAGATCTTAATTCAAAAATACAAATTTAAATCGTTTTAATGCACAAAAATAGTTCAGCTGTTGGCAGTTAGTTCTCCCAAAAGCCTAATCAGCGTAATTCTAGTTTAAGTATTGATAACTTAGCTCCCATGTTTTTCTGTTATTTATTTAAGGCTAGTGAGATGGAAAAATATGAACCTTCCACAAATTCTTTTAAACTATATTATTTGAAGAACAATCAGCTCTTCAACATCCAGGGTAATGGGGATGAGATAGAGGTAGGCTGACCAAAGTAAACTTCTGAAGGAGACAAAACCTATTTTATATTAGTGCTATGGACTTAAGAGTATTATCTCTGAATGAAATTAAAGAATATAAGGAGATAAAGATAAATGGAGCTCATTTTGGTTACACTAAAATCCACATAGTTCATACAAGACAACTGAGAGCTGTCTGCAGTTTTAACAACCATGAACAGCTCCCCTTGCTACTTTGGCTCCACCTCACAATCCGTTTTCCCCCACTCTTCATTACAGGCAGATCCTCATCAGTGCACTTGGATGATGGACCTATAAATACCTCCACAGCAACTTGCAGTTCAGCCCATCTGTTTGCCTTCTGTACTCACTCCATTGGAGAGCTCTTTATAAAGTTTGTCCACATAAAACATGCTTTTGGCCTTATCTACACAAGGAAGCCAATGGATGATACGATGCAGTGCATTTATAGTTACTGTAGATATAGTTACATGTGACATGCTCAGTGAAGATAAAGTATTTACTCTGCATAACTTCAGACATCTAAATTAAATTAGTCTCCAAAGGCTTCCTGAATAGCCAGTGCAAGGGAAAAAGGGTCCTGCAAAAAGATATCTTGACATAGGCACTCTGAATAGTAAACCAGAAAAGCATCTCTTCTTCACCATGTATGGCATAGGAGACTAGCTTTTTAATAACGGCATCAGAGCTCAACATTGCAACTACAGGTGTGAAGTATCTTGGTTTGCTTCAAAGTAGACTAATTTAACATGTTCAGTTTGATATGTGTTACTGTCATGGGTAGGTTAATCCTAAATGAAAATGAAAGTCCAATCTTTAAGCAAATAACCAAAACAAATTGGAAGGGAAAGGAATTTTAAAAAACCCCTAACATTCACTGACCAGTCTAATCTCACAAATGAGGACACCTATAGCATCAGATTTATTCTGTATTCATATAGAAATAAAGTAAATTAAGAAGATATACAAATGAAGTGTAAATAGATTACTTTTAAAACTCTCCTTGGATTTTGAGGCTAACATTTCCATTGTGAATAATAAATTAAGCCCAGTGTGTATCCCTAGCATAAGGGTCATTACTCACAGTGTTTATAGCCACAGTCAGAATCTTTCAACATCAAAACAAGCTCAATAATTGCAGGAGAACACAGTACTAGAAAATTAATATGTTACATGATGACCAAATGTTTGCCTTTTAAACTGAGTAGCAACATATTTAACCTTACCTGGAACCCAATTTAAGTATCGAAAAGGAGCACCACCAACCCATTGCCATCCACTGTTGAAATTCAAACTGTTAAGCCCAAACCAGAGAGCAGAACTGAGTCCACCAGTCACACCTAGGTAACAGAGACAAAAAGAGACACTGGAAGTACACAGCAAGAGCAAACATGTTCTCAGAACTTGAGAGCTGAATTCTTACTAAACCGTCTGCTTCTCCTTTTTCCAAGTGCACGTTTAACAACTTTTAACCTTTTAGTAGAGCTGGCTGTGCTAAACCTGCAAAACCTGCCATCTTACATGGATCACTTTGCTTTTAAAGTTTTCACATTTTTAGGTGTGAAGAATTTTATTAAAATAATAGAAAACAAAATTACACTTCTGCATGCTCATTGTAAACCAATGATCATAACTATGAAACAAATAATGGTTTTTTCATAATTATAAAATATTAAATTGAAAAAGTTGCACAAAAGGTCACAAAACCAAAAATCAGTTTTCAAAAATGAAACATGAATAGTTTCCTGTTGCATATTTTCTCTTGCAATAAATTGAAAAAGTGTGACTTTCAAACTTATGAAATATTGTAAAGTAAAAAAACTCTGCATTTTATCAAACTGCATTAAAATGCAATCATTCCAAACATCATCTTTTTAAAAGCACATCATCTTGTACATTTTTCAAACTCATCTGATTTCACTTCTTTAGCTAATGTTAAATCAGGCTTCCAAAACCAGTTCCAACTTCTCGCTCTAGTTCTGAAAAGCACCTAGAAATATCATGCTTATCTATGGTCCTGGTGAATTCTGTAGCATTATTTATAGTCATTATTAATCAATTGTCTATCTCTGCCTTTCATATAAGACTTGGAAGTCCAGCTGGATGGCTCCTGATTTTTTTGAATTAAATATATTTCCGCATAGCTCACAGAAAATTGTTGTGCAGTATATATTATTTATTTCTGCTTCTGCTGATGGCATCATGCCAGTATGTAATTTTGCTCTATATATTTAGTTGTCTTTGACACCATGATTATGGGCAGCACGTGAAGCTTAGCATGGTTAAAAGGAAGGGTAGTCAAGCACTGGAAAGGACCAGAATGTCATACCAAAGCCTGATTTGGCACCAATACGTTAATGTGTTCCAGTACTACTTCTATATAAACAAGTTGTGGTTAAGACAATCAAGAACTGAGTATGACAGGAAATCCCAGTACTGCCAGGGTAACTGTAAAATGAAAAACTGATTTTCACATACATTTGGCAGCCATATCTACTAGTTTGCAATTAAAACACACCTACTAATAACTCACTCCTACATGTTAGTGACAGATTGCTCCCTTGAGCATTAATTTCAACAACAATTTCATCACACTCCGTAAAAAAAAGACCCATGTTTTGACCAAATCTTTAAATTGAAAACAAAAGTTTAATTTAAACAAAAGTTTAATTTAAATGATAAATGAAAATTAAAAATACATTTATCATTCCTCTAAATTGGAGAAATATAGATTTGATGAATAAGGAATTGGCTTGATGTCTGCATCCAAAGAGTTACAGTCAATGATTCAACGTCCAAATGGAAATCAGTAACAAGTGGTGACCCTCTAGGGTCTGTATGGGACAGATAATATTAAATATCTTCATCAGTGACATAGACAGTGGGATTAAGTGCACCCTCAGCAAGTTTGCAGGTGACATCTGCTATATTTTTTATGTTACTGTAAGTTTCTGGCAATATTTAATCAGAATAAAATAATCATTATCTGTCTGATTTTTCCAGCTGAATCATACAAGATAACGATTTAAATCTACTAATTACCAGAACTGAACAAATATCAGTTTTCAAGATGGTACATGCAATATAAGGTTCACTGTTACAACAATGCACTTAAAAAAAAAAAAACACCAAACCCCACAACCCACACAAAAACAACAAAAAAAAATGATGGATAATATTACACTACCTGTCAGGTATGTTTGTTCATGCAACTCTGTGATGCTTAATAACTCTGCCTTCTGTTGCTGACAGCTTTTTCTTGCCTGGTGCCATTTCAGAGCTGCCTCAGTGTTTATCTGGTACTGGACCTTTGTTAAAGGATCTGTATTCCACAACGAATCAATACCATTAACTGTAGGGAGAAAAACAAATGCTGTAACTGATCATGAAGATAAAGTCAGATAAAATAAAATATAGAATGAATTGCATAGCAAAAATACACAAAACCTAAACACTGCTATAGACCTCTAATTTGAAAGGAGTCCTGAGGCTCTCTAATGTGATAGTAAATCCAGGTCAGAGCTAAATCATGACAGCCGTGTTCAACAGTGCAGAGGTAAACAAACGAGGTCACCATTTTCTCTGGTATAACAAAGCTGCTGTTCAAGATATGAATGGCTAAAGTCACACTAAAAGAGTTCATTTGTCACTGTGGAGAAAAAGACTAAAAATATCCAGAATCATGCTAGCTAAGGTGTATATCAAGCTGACCATTTTTCTGAGATAAGAAACCCTAATTTTTTTACTAATTCTGGGGACTATATAAAGTGGCTATGGATTTTATTACTGTGATAGAGGTAATCAGATCCAAGCACTGAATACAAAACCTAGGTTATCAGCATCCATCTCACACTTTTCTGCAATTCCTGATTTGTCTTATGCCTGTATCTGACATACCATCACACTTTCTTCTCTGCCACTTGACTGTCATCTCCTCGCATACCTGAGCTTGGCACGTTTAGGCAATGCCAAGCCAGTGAAAATGTCATCCAGCAGGCCCCAGCGTTGGAAGTGGCCCCAGAAGGTACCACACCCCTTACACTGCTGCAGCTTCTCCTGGCTCATCTCAACTAAATCCTCACAACAAGAAACAGAAAACTGTGTGATCTTACTCTGCCAAAAATGCAACCTACAGGAGGCCCCAACACTGAGCTAAATATCACATAAAGAGATTAAAGTTTCATGACAAAAGCAGAATATAGCAGAGGTCACTGTATGTCTGCTGACAATGGGAAAACAACTGAAATGCCTGCAGTCTGTATCACAGTTTCTGAAGTTGCAAGCTGTGAAAAATTTGAGAGAAAGAGGTCTTTTCCTTTTCCGAATTCAGAGAGCTCAGAAAACTTAAGTGTGCAAATAAGAGGAAAGCAGTACAATAAACAAAACTCAAGACAAAGGATGATACATGTTAAATGTCAGCAGGTCAGTAACCAGTTCCACTTTTTCCTGTATTAAATCTGATAGTCTATAGATAATATGAAGTGCTTATTTTCAAATTACCCTTATAAAAAAATGGGAACTTTCATCACATTATCATCCATAAACCAACTTCTATCCAAAAATATTTTTTGACTGTCAGAAGGCAAAATTTCTTTGCTACAGTATGTTCTACAAAACCACAAATTCCTGTGCACAAACCTGGAATAAAATGGAGACTGCAAAATTAGTAAAATCTGTAATTCAGTAAAGAAAACTGACTCCAACTTGATAGAAAGGGTTTTCTAAATCTTGTACAATTATTACAGAGGAAGAGATAAACAAGTATTAGGCCGTCATCCAAACTTCCACCTCACTCCCCCAGTCTCATCATTTACAGCTGATTTGCACATGGTGCTCTCCTCTAGAACTTTGGTCTTTCATAAAAATAAAGTTAATTTCTGAACTTTGGAAAAAAATTTTTAAGATATTTGAGTTTTATGAGGTCAAATGCTTTCACAGAGCAGGATTTTGGAAAAGCTATATGCTATTGTTTAAAGCTTAGTATCCCCAGAGAAACCAGAAGATGAATCACTTTTCTGGAATGATATATTTTAGCATCTAAACTAAATTAATGTTAAACCACACCTGACCTTAGTACCTAAATTGAAAAAGAATTAAAAAGCTGAACTTTATCCCTACACAGATGAATCCAACATGCATTTTTTGTATACACTGAAATTAGTGAGAACTATCTATTTCCACTACAATTACTATCAAAATCCCAGAAGTACAATATAGTAAGTCAGAAGATTTCACTCACGTCTTTGCAAGTTCTCAACTTTTAAAGAAAAGCAGACCAAAAATGCATTGAACTTCAGGTATAGCCCTTGACAGACAAGTTCAAACTCACAGGAAAGGCATAAAGTCCTGACCAATGCAGACAGTTATGGCATTTATAATTAAAGAAATGTCACCATGAGTATCATACCAAAATACAATATTTCTCCTGAATTAGGAAATGGAAGAATCTTGAGAGATTTTGGTTTCAAAATTGCAAGCTGAAATCTGGCCTTTGACTAGCAATTAAAAAAAAAAAAAAAAAAAAAATCATTCTTGTTTGTTTAGTTATCCATCCAAAGCAAGTTGGAATCTCAGTCCAATATCCTCAGAAACTTCATGAATAGAATGATGGCAAACAAAAACTGAATATAAATCTTGTTAGTCTATAAAATAACTGTCATTGCTTCCTCTCTGAGCATACAGTAGGGAAGGAATCTCATAATAAAGACATTAAAATTTATGTGAATTTATAATATAGTCTTTAAAGATAAAATGCTGTCAATAGTAAAAAAGTCTAAATTATAAAACTTCCTTCACATGCTTATCTTCACTTACATATCTTTTCCTAAAGTGCTCCTCTCTTTCTTTTTCCTAGATAAATTTGTGAGGTCCAAAGCCAGTTTATGAGTTCCAGATAAATTAGAAGTAACACCACAAATCATCCCATACAACTTAGTTGACCAATTCACCGGGCATTTTGAACTAGACATAAAACTACAAGGAAAAACCCTTCAAAACATTTGGAAACACCAACATGGGGGAAAAGCCCATCATCAGAAATAAATTCAGTATTTGTAAATTAATAAAAAGATGCAGATTTGTCAAATAATTAAAATACCAGGCTAAGACTGTTTAAATATTTCCTTATTCTCTGCACTTTTTGTTTCCTTCCTAGTCAGCTGCAAGTTTTATGCATCGCTTCTAAGACTTTCTAAATTCTTCACAGAAATTCTAGCTCTTTCATCTGTCAGGAAAGGCACCTCAATGGACTTATGCCCACTAAAATACAGCTATAGGCACACCTCATGACTCACTCTCCTGATGGTCTTACACTGTGCAACCTGTTTTCTTCCCCAACACCTCCTTTTCTATTGCAGTGCATCATACAGCTCATAAAGGCACAGTGTAACCTGTAAAGAACCAGTATTTCCTAGGCTACTAAAAATTGCCTGATGTAGCAACACTTCTCAGTTTCTTCCTGTGTGATTTATTCTGTTGTCACTGTATCAGCACCTCTTTTTAAAGCACCAAATAAAGGGTCACACTCACAGTTACGTTACCTCCACTGGTCAAATTTCTACACCTTTACTGAGTATAGTAACTGTTATAAATACAGTCTTATACCCTCTTCATTTTGGAGAACATTTGAGACAGTTTTGCTCACAGTGAAAAAAGTGACTGGTTCAATCATGATAATTTCACTATATGTCCATGCAGGCCCCAGTAGGAACAGCTGTAATAGTTTGCATCATATACTTTCATATCGGCAGCTTTGCTCCCCCAGACAGTTTAAGAAACAGCAAACACTTTAGTCTTATTAAATAAAGTTTAAAATACAAAGACTTACACATTCTGTATTTAAAGGTGCTGTTGGAGTTTATTAGCTTATCACTCTCTCATGCAGTGCATTCCTCTTCATAGGGCTGACTAAAACTTCTGCTACCATAGCCTGTCTCTCATTAAAATATATGACCCAAACTTGAATATTTTATAGCCAGTACTGAAGAATCAGGAAGGAAACATGCGGGCAATCAGCATAAAGCAGCTTTTCCAAAAAAAACAATCATCACAGCCATCTGAATGGATTTCCTTGAATTATGCCAAAGAATTAAACAAAATTTTAATGATGCCTCCTATTTGCTATACTCAAAGAATGCTAAACAGGTAGCATTCTTAAGTTGGTCTTGCATGTGGTCTATTAATGGGATTGATATTCTCAACATGTTTTTACTATCTGAAAAATAATACTGGCATAGAAAAGAAAACCATGTAATTTTGGTTTGTTTGAAATGAAGAATGCAACATTCATGGAAATCAGATAAGGACACTAATACTTCATCATCAAACCAGTTAAGATCAAGCCATGCTGTTTTCTTCACATCAAAGGAAAGACATGTTTTTCTCCTTAGCTCTGACTGCATTCAGCTGGAGCTTTACAGCAAAACACAGTAATAACAAAGGGAGGGAGAAGTGCTACCTACATCTTTCAGTGTTACAGAAGCAGCAGCTTGCAGACAAAATTCTTCATATATATTTTATAGAAGTTAAGAGAAACTTTATTCAAATTTCAAAGAATTCAAATACAGACAGGCATATTTCTCCAATTTGCTTTAAGTAATATCAACATTTCTAAATAAAGTTCTGTATATTCATAATACTACAGTTGAAACTCTAACTATAGGCAAACCAAGGAATTTAGAATATAAATACTTCTCATAGATTTTAGACACAGAACTACAGCGTAGCACACAGATCTGGGAAATACTGTGATTTACAAAAAAGTTCATGTAAGCTCCTTCATGTTTCATAGAATCATAGAGTGGTTTGAGTTGGAAGGGACCTCAAAGATCATCTAGTTCCCACTCCCCTTGCCATGGGCAGGGACACCCTCCACTAGACCACGTTGCCCCA